CCTTCAACTTACCCATATACACGCACCTATATATATATATATATATATATATATATATAGACACACACACACTCATTCCCCACCTACATATATTTGTCATTACACCCCACATATGATATGGCTATGGCTACTCTCTCTGAAGCTTTTGCAGACCACCATCTTCATTCTCCCCGTATCCTTCCTCTAGATTTCAACTCTGTCGATACCGTACCTGAATCTCACCGCTGGCCTATTTCCGACGACTTATTCGCCGCCGACCACCGGCTTTCTATACCGGTAATTGATCTCCAGGACCCTAATGCGAGTCAACTTGTGGTGCATGCATGTGAAACGTGGGGTGCGTTTCAACTGATAAACCAAGGGGTTCCCACGGAGGTTGTGGAGGAGGTGGAGGCGGAGGCGAAGCGGCTCTTCTCTCTCCCGGCTCAACAGAAGTTCAAGGCCACGCGCCAGCCCGGCGGAGCCACCGGCTACGGCGTTGCTCGGATCTCCCCATCTTTCTCTAAATATATGTGGCATGAAGGTTTTACTGTCATGGGTTCGCCGCTTCATCATGCTATGCAACTTTGGCCAGAGCCAGCTGATGATTATACACGGTTTTGGTTTGTATACTATATTATTATTTTCCATGCAAATCCATGCACGTAAACAAATTAATTTATACACGAACTAATTAAAACCTAAATAACAGCCACAAGAAGACCGTGCAAATTATATATATATATATGTTCACATAATTATAATTGAGTGCTTAATTAATTAATTAATTAAAAGGGATTTGTTTTTTTAAGTTTAAACGATATCATTTAGTTTTTTTTTTTGGTAAAACAATTAATTTTTAGTTCAAATTTACTAAAATATAAACAATTAAAACTATTAATATTCAGCCGCACTTGATATCTCAAAGTCAATAGTGATTCAACATTGATAGATTATTTTCAAAATTTAACATTTATTATAACTTAATTTTTATTTTTTATTTTTGTTACAATTTAATTTCCAATAATTTTTTTCTGTTTCAAATTCTTAATTTTTTTATTAAAAAAATTAACGTAGTTAAACTATATTTATATACTTTAAGAAATACTTCAAAAAATAACATTGATTAATTGATTAAATTAATAATTAATAACAATGAAAAAATATTATGGACCATAATCTTGTAATACATGTCCTGGTAATTAGACCTAAAATTAATAAATAAAAAAATTATGTTAATTTTTTAAGAAAATGGTACTTATAAATTTTAAGGAAAAACCCAGGAGACTCTCCTCTCGTTTCTGAATGTTGGGTTTTGATATTAAATTAACTGCATGCATGCAGTGAGATAATAGAAAATTATCAGAAGAAAATGAAGATGGTGGCAGAGCAAGTAACACAACTCATCTTCAACTCACTGGAAATCGACAAGGAAGATGCCAACTGGGTTGACTCGGCCTTCGCCGCTCTACAACTCAACTGGTACCCTTCGTGCCCGGACCCGACACGAGTGATGGGTCTAGCTCCCCACACCGACACTTCTCTCATAACCCTTCTGCACCAGAACCAAACCAGCGGTCTCCAAATTTTCAAAGAAGGCTGCGGTTGGGTGTCAGTGCCGCCTCTGAAAGGTGCGCTGGTCGTTAACGTCGGTGACCTCTTGCATGTTGTTTCAAACGGTCGATTCCAAAACGTTCTCCACCGTGTGATGGTCGACCTGAGCCGGAGTCAAAGATTATCAGTGGCTTACTTTTATGGACCGCCGCTTGATTTTAGAGTTAGGCCTCTTGTTAAGCTGTCGAGTCAAGTACCTCGGTACCGACCTGTGACTGTTGAGGAGTATGCTGTCATGAAGGGAAAGAGTTTTGAGAGAGCCATGTCTCTAATCAGAATTTAATTAATCTACTTCTCTTTTTGGTTTTCTTCTTAGTTAATGTTTATAAGATTGTTAATTTGATTTTATATAATTAGTGCATGTTTTTGTACAAAGTGAAAATTATAATAATAATAATACTGGAAATAGCTGTTGAATATACAGAATCCAATTCTAACACCGCTCTGTTTCTCAGATCAGATGAGAGCTTTTATAATTTTTAGTATAATTCTTAAATTTTGAATTTTGATCACAATATTATAAGAGAGACTTCTGAAGAAATAGTAAAAAATAGAATCAAATCAGTTGTCTTAAGAAAAAAAAACCCATTTTTATTATTAAAAATATAAAATAAAAATGACTGAAAGATTCACAGGCTCGATATGAATATTATAATAAATAATACATGGAGACAAAAAAGGCATTTGTCTTGATCTGAAGAAAAGACATGAGTGAGAATAATCCTGTTAAAGTATTCCAGTGCAAGATAGATATCCTGCCATGGGAGCCAGAGAAAATCTTCCAAGGAATAAGACGCATGACCTCATCAAAAACAAGAAAAGCAAACTTTAATGAATCAATCTCATCATTTTCTTGTCCATTATCTTATATTTCTGACTAAGCAGTAAGGATATAATGATTTATTTACACAGGTAAAACAGTAAGTCAAACAAATACACATGAATGGAGTTCCAACTATGATATGGCCAAGCCTCCCCTATCCTTTCTTCATTTGTCATTTGTTTTGTCCGAGTGATGTTTATGGCTTCATTTGGATCTTTCATCAGAATCACCCTGGCCTCTCAATCTCTCATTCCTAGCACATTCCTCCTGGTAATTGAAGCTCCAATTAAATTATTTGAAGAAGCTATCACAAACAGTGAGCACTTTTGACATCAAGTTGAGACATCAACCATAAGCAGATACCCAAATTTTTTATGGACAAAATCTCATCTCAACTAAAGCAACTGATGGAAATGCATCATTATTATAACCAACAAATTTAATGCAATAAACAGCATAATCCTTCAAGAAAAGTGTCAATTCCATAAACTAGAGAAAAAGAGGTGCATCTGATATTTTATGATATAGTGAAAGATTCAATGAGATTGGTATGCTATTTTACTAGAAACAATTGCTTTTAGCTTGATCTCTGTTGGTTCTTTTCTTGAAGAAATTGATCTCTGTATTTCAGGTGAACATGCAGCAACTAAAATCCAAAGGTACAACCAAAAGCACTCAGACAAGTTCAAGAAAGGAATCTCACCTTCCCAAAAGAATGATGTTACAGATCGGTATTTAAAAATCAGGTTATGGGTTGAGTTATATGGAATTTGGGGAGTAGGACTCCTCAGAGTTAGAGAAAACCTCATCCTTAGAGTTAACATACTCTACAACCTACGTTTAATTAATTACTCTTGTTGATTTTATTCATGCAAACTACTTTCATAGTTAGAGTTGCATAAACTTCTATTTTGAATAGACACTGATAAATTATTAGTTTACTAGTAGTAATAATAAGTACCATAGATACAGAATTCCTGATTTCAAAGATCAAAACCTTGTGCTGATCATGTCTCTTAATTAACATAAATAATTACTATTTTACTTCAAACCAACCTCTTAACCTAACTAAGCTCTTTTTCCAAATTTAATCTTTAACAGCATCAGCCCAAACTTAATCTCTTGTGAGGCATGCACCTAAACAATGACAGTCTCCCGCTTTCTTCTTCTCACATTTCTTTTTTTTCTCTCTTTCTTTCTTTTTTCTTTGACTATTTCGGAGCATAACATTACTCACTTCTACCAAAAGGTGCTTGTCTACAAGCACCAGAAGGTTGTGTTATGATACTGTTTTGCATTGACAGACATGGGTTCCTTAACTGCATTTTAGGATAAAGAAACTCCAGCTTGCTGAATTCCCATCAACTAAGGATGAACTTGGTTCCTCCAACATAGGGTTGAATCTGAGATTTTAATTGTTGTTGTAGCTTATTTCCTGTTAACGAAAAAATTCTAACAGAGAATATCAATAGGTTGTTGCATGCAGAATGTATGAACTCAAACCCTTTTGTTTGGTTGTGTCCACTGTATTGTAAGGCCATCTACTGCCGCTGTTAATGCTGCCCTCAAGCACAGCCTGAGCATCTGGTTTACAACTTGAAAGCTCTCTAAACAGCAGCTGAATCCGTAATCCATTCAAT